GTTTTATCGTGGACCACAATCGGTATCCTACCGAGAAACACACCCAGCTGTCAGAGACCGAACAGCTGGTCTTGTAAAACTCGTAAATCCAACAGCCATGCAAATCCAGAGGATAAAAGCCCACTCAACGCGACTCGACTCACTTCTGTTTTTACTACAGATTTCTGAGGAAAACTCGATTTTGGTTACAGACAGACTTTACATGCCAGTCTAACAAAGAAGGAATGAGACAGATCTGCTATTCTGTGCTCACTGATTGAGGTGAAATGTTGCAATCCTAACCTCAACCCACAAATATTACTACTCGTACACCACAGCATAAATATCCAGGTGAAAAGAAGTCAAGCCACTGCTGATTTATCGAAAGTTCGATCTAAGGCCAAACCTTCAGGCCGAATTCGACACCTAAAGTTTACCCACACATACAAGTTGTCCCAAAAATCTTGCCTTACGTAATGGTTGTGCGTATATATCTTTCTGGGACACTCTGTATAAATATTCATTGATAACATGACGTAATTTAGTCCTTAACATAAAATAACGATTTCATTATAATTATGTTCATCTGCAACATTAGTATATAATTTAATAAATGCAAATTAAATACTACGTGGCTGTGTGTAGTAAGGTCAATGATGCAATAATAATGGATTTTTATCGGTAATAATTTAAAATCAAGGCCAATGAGATAAAAATCTGAAAGTACGCATTTTAATAAATTGTGTTCTCCAAATTTTTAGCACAGCCAATATTTATATCCTTAAGAATTCGTTAGCTGTTACGATCTCCAAAATATCCGACGATAAACTGACCACTGCAATAAAATCATCATTACAAATTGTATCACTGGACCGAAAATTACTTCGAAAATGAATTTTTCTTCTGATAATAAAACATCTGAATCGGTAGAAGGTAAAATATGGACGAAATGTTTAATCTCTGCACCATAAATATGCCAAGAGGTTACATAAAGCAGACACGGATAACATCCTTGCTTTTACGTAACACAGTTTGGTCCTGAAGATCTCTGCTCCATCCTTCACGTGAGCTGCAATGTCACTTGAGATGTCAAACAAGATGTTTTTATTTATTTTTGTGTTTAAATTTAAGCTCTTTTGGAAAACACACTAGAAGACGCAGGCAAGTGTTTTAGTAGGTACCATCTCTCTAGGCTGAATCCTCGTGTCAACAGAATTCCTTTACGAAGTCCTCACTCAATATTTCAACAGCTCAGGCTTCTTCTTTTCGGTTTACACTACGAAACTTTGATGATGTGTAAAGCAAAGATCACAAAGTTCCTACATTTTTACGTT